TAAGAGGCGCCCGCGAGGATTACGCTCCGGATCCTCGCACGCTCGCGCGCCGTAACAGTCATGGACGCGCGCGAGGTATCGATACCTCGCGATACCTCCCCCCGATGGTTTCCCCGAAATTCGATTCGGGAAACGGAGAAAGCGCGCGCTCTCGCTCTCCGGCGAGCTTGTCGTTGCTGATCGGATGATTATTTCAACGACGCGATGTGAATTATTAGAGGGGGGAACGACGAGAACGATAAGCGTCTCGCGTTATCACACGATTTCCTTCGCTCCTCCTCGGGTAAGAAAACGAGAGCGACGGAGAGGAGAGGGGCTTGCCGTAGTCGCCGGCGCGACGTTCTCATCAAAGTCGCCGGCATGCGCCATCAGGAAGTGACGGGCCGATTATGGTAAGGTTCCTCCGGCTCTGTGTCCACGTCGTTCTTCGTGAAGTCCGCTCCGAAACTGTGTTTACAAAGTGCACGGTAATCAGAAATTCATGGCTTCCTTCTTTTCATTCATAGGCAGCGCAATCATTTTTCCCCCGCGCGCGCGCGCGCTCGAGAGAGGCTGATTATTCGCTAGGCTCTCCTTGACCGTCCCGTTGTTCCCCGTGCACATTCTCGCGTGCTGCAAGGTCGAAAACGCTAACAATGGACGCACATTAATAGCGCGCGCGCATGCACGTGTGCGCGCGCGTGACGTGTGTGTGTGTGTGTGTGTGTGTGTGTGTGTTCTCGCGCGCACGCGGGCGTGCGTGGCGTCATGGTAGAATTACCCTCCACTTAGCGCTAAGATTCCCGTCGCTCTCCGGGCCCGCTTCGAAAATCCACGCTCGAGCGGTACGCTCTCACGAGAGAGAACGCCCGCTCGTCGATTATCGCTCTCTCTCTCTCTCTCTCTCTCGCGCGCGCGCGCGCGCGCGCGGCGACCGAGGAACACGACTGGGCGGAGGATTTGTCGGCATTTCGCTCGTTAATCTCGTTACGCACGTTATCGCTTAGTCAGGGCTTCGACATTTCCACCGGCGAATTCGAGCGAGCGCGTACGTACCTCGCGTGTATGCGTGCACGCACGCACGCACGCACGCACGCACGCACACACGCGCGCGCGCGCGCGTACACACGGCTCGGCGGCGAATTTGATCGAAGCCAGCCAGCCTGCCAACTAGCATTCACCGCTATCGAGCACACAGCATTGGCGCACCGGTAGTAATCATCATTTGCAACACGGGAACACACGCGTGTTGCGTTTGTGTGCGCGCGCGCGCTTATCGCACGCGACGGTGCGCAGCGCGACGCGCGTGTGTGCGTGCGATCGTGTCCGGTGCCCTTGCACGTGCGAGCGACCGCTTCGGCCACGTGTGTGCATACCGTGCACTGTGGAAATTTTCTTCTTCTGTTTTCTTTTTTTTTTACCAATTTCCCCGTGTCTCTGCATCCCTTCCCCCCTCCCCCCGTCGCGCCCTCTCACGGATAGGCGCGGGAGAGAATAAAATTGTCGCGGTTCCCTTTCGTCCTTGCTCGGGCTAGAAATGTGCGGGGACGGTTAGTAATGATTGACTGTGCATAATTGCACGGCGCGTGTACGCAATAATAATTATTATCGGTCGAAGAGAGAGAGAGAGAGAGAGAGAGAGAGAGAGAGAGAGAGAGAGGGAGAGAGAGAGAGAGAGCGAGGGAGGAATCGCGAGAATGTATCGAGAGCGCGCGCGTCTCTAGCCGACGGAGCTATCGCGGCCAGGTATTGGAGGTCTCTGCGTTATCGTTGCGGGCGTGTATCAATGACAGGCTTTTGGCAGAACAGCGATTCCCTCGGAACAGTGCCAGATGCCAGCAGAGTCTATGCGCGATCTGTGCTGCACTCTGCAGGAACTCTCGAGCCGACGGCACTCGCGTCGCGCGCGCCCCGAGAGAGATCCCGCTTCATCTCGCGCGCGGCTTTTCGCTTTCGCCTCAGCTTGGCGAACGGCGGACTGCACGCGCGGCAGGCAAATGTGTGCGAGAGTGCGCGCGTGTACGCACGCACGCACGCACGCACGCACGCACGTACGCACGCAGGATTGCCGCGCGTTTTCCTTTATTCTTGGAACAAGCTGAGTCTTGTGCATCAGCTTTGTCCTCGAGAACGGTCGCCGAGGTGGCAGCAGTTTTGCGGTTTGCACAGGATCGAAGACCGAGGGAAGACTTGCGAAGACGAGCAGCCTCACGCGAGCGAGAGAGATTCATTCCACGGCAATTTATTCCGCTGTGAAATCGCCCGGCGACGGAACTCCGGCAGCATTTTCACGTGGGACCGCCGCACGTCGGGCAAATTGGCCTTTCGCTAAATTGGCAATTTGGGGACAAGTAAATGATTGAGGAAAAATTGGACTAGCGCGCGTCGAGTTCGCACATCTGAGGAGGTCTGTCCGCGGTCCCCCCGGCGGTTGCGGGGAAACCCCGTGGACGAAGAGAACAGGGCATGGCTGCAAGACACTCTGTACAAATAACGCCGCGAGTATCGGCAAAGTAAACACGTGCTCGACACGTATCCAGTCCCCCCCCCTTTCCCCTCCCACCGATCGCTAATGACACAGAACGATAAATCATCCGGCTTTTAATCTCATCGAAAATACTTCAGAAACCGGCCGGCCTGCCGCAGACGGGCCGCGTGCGGTCGCCACGTAAGTCGTTCGGAAGACGCAACGATTGCAAAGCGATTAAGTAATTCTTTAACGTTGTGCATCTAAATGTAAGGATCTAACAGTAAAGATCAATAATCACTGACCGCTTGCTGCGCGTTTTGTTTCCCGAACGCAGCCGACGTAATAAAGCGCGTGTACCGTCTCCCTCCCTCTGTCTCTCCCTCTCTCACTTTCTCTCCCTCTCTCTCTCTCTCTCTCTCTCTTTCTCTCTACCGGTCCTCACGTAGCTGCAGCATCGTCGGGCGATAAGGCGACAAGTGCCGGCGATTCTCGCGATAAAGCGCGAGCAGCGTGTCCCTTGTTATCGTCCCTTCCATTCGTGCGAGAAAGACCGATATCGCTTTTATTTGATCGATCATCTCCGCGCGGCAGACTTTGCAATATCGCGCAAGAAGAATGGCTTGAGACTGAATGAAACGCGATTTAACTCCCGTAACAGACTGAAAAACAACAATGCGTTTTGATATCTTTGGTAGCACGCTGTTTCTGAGATTGACCGTTTCTCAAGACCTTCGCTCGATGGTAGAGTTGAAATTCGAAATTCAAAACGACGAAATTCGAAACGTGATTTGAAGAGCGTGTGAGAATTTTATTACGTGAATTTTATTATGTGGGAATTTTGAAGCTAATTTCAGGAAGGAACGTTCGAAGCGGCGAGCGCTCGAACCGATACAGACGACCAAAACGAAGTGATATTTACATATTACATAATTTATCGTTATAAATGATTTATTGGTTCTTATTAAAAATGTTGCGCATTCTCACTGCTCAAATTTCTTTTTTTTCTTTTTTTTTTTTTTATAACAGATGTCCGATTTTATTTCGACAAATTAGAATTTCGATTTTGGTTTTCGCCGTGTGTTGTAGGCTGACCGCAGTTTTGAACTTGAACATTTTCGGCTTCGCATTCAAAAAGCTCAGCACAAAATTTCGCAACGCTTGCGCGGACTCGAGCATCCGGAAGAAGCCTGCATTCACATGGACGGGCATAAGAAAAGAATCCGGCGGCGTGTCCGGCACACACATGCTTTTCCCGGCTGTGCCATTTTCTGCCGTTTTATTTCTGTACGGAATAGAGAGAGAGAGCGAGAGAGAGAGAGAGAGAGAGAGAGAGAGAGAGAGAGAGAAAACGACGACGACGAGAGGGCGCGCTGTCGTCGGCATCGCAAATAGGCAATCTGATCTATGACACATTTTCTTCCTAAAATAGCGTTATACGGCTTTACACTGCCGCTATTACCCGCGAAATACGTCCGCGCGTCGGAGTCGCCGAAACGCGACCTCTTCTCGTCGCTGAGAATCGCTCGTTACGTCCGGTTACGTTGAACGTTGAACGGCTGAAACTTTCCGCGGAACCGCGGCACGACGCGCGTCGTCCGCCGAAAACGGTGCAAAATTGCGGAATCGATGCGGGCGCCAACGTCAACGCGCGATTTATCATTTGCACTTCGTGGGACTTTCCCCAGCTGTTTCTCGCCGGCACGAGAGCGAGAGCGTCGACGTGATTATTGATTTACGCGCGCCAATGGATCCGCGCGACACTTGAGACGTCGAGCGCACGTCGATCGTAATTTATACGTGCCACCGGCGTACAAGGCAGAGGAGGGGGAGAGAGGGAGAGAGAGAGGGAGAGGGAGAAAGAGAAAGGAAGAGGGAAAAAGATTCGGCGTTGTACTTTGATTATAAGTCCGAGTAAGAGCCGCGTTGGATACGCGAGAACGAAGTTCAAGGGAAGCCAGGAAAGTACACGATGATCTCTGGCAGAGAAACTCGGAAAAGCGCTCGAGCGTCGCGCAATTTCCCTCGTCGACGCTAGAGCGTCTCTCCGGGAGGGATACTCTATCGCGGCCCGCTGCGTGTCGCTTCGATTTCGAGACTCGCGGCTTATCGCGCGCGGTATATATTTCCGCGACAGCTCGATACATTCCGAATTGATGGCGATCGAGAGTTCGATAGATTTTCCGATCGCCGGATCGGAAACAACGGCGCACCGCGCGCGACCGCGCGTCACTTGGATACCGCCTCGCCGAGTAACACGCGGCAACCCTCGTGAGATGCCGAATTGAAATTGTCAGTGACCGAGGATTCCGGAGCTTTCAGAGCGCCGCAAAATTATCCGTAGCAAAATTCTCCGCCGGTCGCCCTTGCACCCGATGAGAGGTTGACGGGGGAATAACACTCGCCACGCAGGTACGGCCTCGTCCTGCGCCTCAGGACAACAGGCCCTTGGACCGACGAGGCGTGGGGGCGAGCGAACGGTGATTGATTGTGCGTGTGTGCGAGCAGGGAATACAAATTAGCCGAGATCGCCGAGACACACGGGAGAGTCGACATGCCAGCGAGACGAACTCCGAAAATCGAGGCGTTGGTCGCGAACGCTATACGCAGGCTGCAGGACGTACAGGGCCCGTCATCGCGGGAAATTAGTAACTACATTTCCCAGGAGTACGACGTGCCTGCGAAGGACATCAGGCGGCAGGTCCAACTCGTGCTGCAGCGCGGCGTATCCTACGGGATCCTCGAGCGGACGAAGAGGTACGCAGACGACGACGAGTCGACGAGCTGATCGCCGACTTCTCTCATTTTTCCCATCCTTGTGTCGCGCGACGCCGCGATCGACGCAGCGCTTTCCCGTCGAGCGATTCCTTTCGTCCGTTGCTACTTGGCGACACGCGCGCGCGCGCGAGCGCGAGTCTCCGATACGCCGGACGGTATTTGCGATGTTGTTCCTCCGGACGGCGGTACAACAAGTCGCTTATCATTGGCGATAATAAACGCCGGCCGGTCGAAAGTGAAGCGTAGCAGATTAAGCAACGCGATAGCGGCCGCGATGTGTGTGACCCATTTCGTAAAAGAGCTGTGTTTTCATCGGCTCGGCCGACGAAAACGACGCGTGTATTCTCGTCGGCCGATGAACGGTAACGACTGCGTCGCACATCACATCCGGTGCGGCTCGACGTAACTCTGACAAAGCGACCGCCGCGACTGAAGCGGCGACGTCTGAGCAGACGTTGTCGCTCGATCGACTCGTCTGATCGACGAAGTCGAAGGCGAATGATAACGCTCGATCGTTTGCCCGGCGCCCGCAGAGGTTACTACACGTGCAACCGCGACTTCCTCGGACGGATACCAGTGGAGGACGAGCCGGGCGACGGGGTGACGGAGCCGTGTCCGTGGGGGAGGAGAAGATGGAGGGTATATTGGAGGAAAATCAGAGCGAGGCGCAGGAAAGCTCGGGAGAGAAGCAGAGCTTACAGACGACGGCTCAAGAGGACGCGCTCAAAAAGGGCGCGCACCGCTCGAAGACGTCGGGGCAGGTCCCGCAGGAGGAGACGCAGGAGGAGCCGGAGGAGGACGCGAAGAAAGTCTCAGACGAACGACACCGGTCCCAGCGAAGACCAACAGCTCTCCCGGGCGGAAACGAAGCAGCAGGAGAGCCACTCTTTCGGAAACGAGGATGGTCGAGAGAGCGAAGGGTCTCGATCGAGTGACGTCCGCGAGCAGACCTGACGCGACCGTTGAGGAATAACGATATTTTTTCACGCTGCGAGCGAACGAGAGAGAGAGAGAGAGAGAGAGAGAGAGAGAGAGAGAGAGAGAGAGAGAAATGAAGGCGTGTGGGAATTGTAAATTAACGAGTCTCGTGTCTCTCGCGGCCCACTCGGTCAGAGTCTTGTTTGGTTTATCCGGTTATCCTTATTCGCGCGGCCTCCGCGAAAAAGAAGAAGCTTCGCGGACATGTGCAAATTTACGTCGGGATGGCTCGCGCGCCGCGAGCCTTCACGCGAGTTTCCGAGGTCTCATGTCCGCTCTCGTCCGTTGTCTCCCGCCCCTTGTCGATTTACACGATTCGTCCTTTGTTTTCTGACAATATATATACATATATATATATATATATATATATACTTGTGTCACATGTTCTCTCTCTCTTCTTGATTCACCGCGTGCGGAGCGGCGTCGCCGGCGAAAAAGAGCGGACGGCGACACGCGGCAGTCAGGGAGATTAGTCGAAATTGCGCTATCGCGATGAAACTCGAGCCTCCTGAGAAGCGCGCGCGCCGGAGAACCCGGGGCTCCGCGGCTGCCGTCGACAGCCCTGAACACGGCCTTGCCGGCTAATGATAGTCGCGCTAATGACGAGTCTGCACACGCACATATGCGCGCCGCGTGACTATTTCGCCTAGCAACTCTAGGACTAGACGCGAGAGCCATCGCTGTGCTTCGCCTTGCCAGCTGTGAATGATAAGTGCGTGCTCATCCGACGCGTCGGCAAAACGAGAGAAAGAGCGAGAGAGAGCGAGAGAGAGAGAGAGAGAGGGAGAGAGAGAAAGAGCGACTCGTGTGCATTCGCGACGAGCCTTCGTTTTCCGCATGATCCCTCCGGGAATCGGTCGATTGGACGCGAGGAAACATTTTCCTCCTATATTCATCCTCCGTGTGCTCAACGATTTCGAAACAATGCGAATTCGCCTGCCTATTATATGTTTCCTTCTATTTTTCCTCCCGCTTCGGCCCAGCGGGCCGAAGGAGAGGAATTCTCTTATCGAGCGCAAGTGCACGCGCGCGCGCGCGGCAAACTTGTTCCAGCCGTCATGCTCACAGCATCAAATGTCGAGTGAGGACGGAATTATCGAGCGACATTATCATATCGAGTCATTATGCGTACTTCGTTCAAAGGACACTGAACCTTCGCGGGCGGCTCCGAACGAGCAAGACGACCCGGGGAGCCCCGCAAGCGCGTCGTCCTCACTCGTGCACACACGGAGTCGACAAGTAATTACGTGGAATTAATCCGACGGAACAATCTCACGCGAGCGCACTCCCATCCCGCGCCGTATATTTGTGTCCGCTCCGACGCGGAAGCCATATTTCGGAGGCGACGCAGAGGCTTCGCGTTCCGACGCGTATCTCTGCGCGATTTATACAATTGCATTAACGATAGCATTGCACTTTCTATGTTATCGTGTCTGACTCTCGGCCCGGCTAATCCCCGGCGTATCATCGCGTTCCACTTTTGACAATTCTCTCCCGACAGGCAGCTTCCGAACATTCGCTTCCGAAAATTTCACTTCTCACAAGTAAAACCTCGGAGAACGTCAGACGCCGATTTGTTTCCAATTTTTTATAGTCACTTTTAATGTCGAAATATAAAGAAATCTGTTATCGTTTCTAGCTTAAACTAATTTTTTCAATTTTTTCGAAATTTCTCTCAAGTTCTTTGCTCATTCTTCTTTTTTTCTTCATTTCTTTTTACCAGATTTCATTTTTTTTTTTTACCAGATTTTGACGTTACAATGAGAAGCTTGTTCGCTGGATAGTGAGCCGAAAGATTATCCAACGTCGAATGTAGCGTAAAACTGAACACTTTTTCAACAATGACGTCAGCCATATTAGATCCGCCATTTTGAATTTTACACAATGGTTCCGGTTCATAATCGGCGACATGTGTGTGTGTGTGTGTGCGTGCGAGTTTCAACAAATCAGATATATACATTTTTAAGAAATATTGTTTTAAATATACACAAAATACTTGTATGTTGTGTAAAACTTGAAAAATTTCGAAAGAATTGAAAAAATTAATTTACGCTAAAAAACAGATAACAGATTGACGTTCCCCCGAGGTCTGCTTGCCAGAGGGAGAACCTTTATTTTCCCTCGTAGACCTTCCGAGACGCCAAGGAGAATTGTCTTCCCGATGCAATCTTAATTTGAGCTTGCCTTTGTTCTCCCGTTGTTCTCCAAGTCGACTGTACACCTGGAGCGCCTCTCCGGGCTTGATATAATTTTCTCAGTATTTTCCTCTCGATGATAAATCGGCTCTTCAACTCGACCCGGTGGCACGATCGCTCGCCGGAATCGGAGCAGCGAGTGACGACCGAAACGAGGAGTGACTTCCTCGACGGGACCAATCGGCCGATCGGCCGACCGGGGAATCGTCGACGCAAAGTTCAACGCGCGCCGCGTGACTAGCGCGTTATTAGCGCTGAGACACGAGACGACGTGAAATCGACGTCGCAGCGTCCGCGTCCTCTCGGGCTTTCGCGGACGCGGCGAAAACGGATGATCGCCTGATTCGCAACGCGATCGCTCGCCGAGCGGAGTTCGCGCGCCCGCCGCGCCGCCCGCGTCGTCGTCGCAACAGGGCGTGGTGATCGGGCGGCTTCGTTAGCGCGATGAAAGCGTTCCGTCACGCGACCGATCGCCGCCACCGCCGTCGCGTACGCTAATTATGTATTTACATTTGTGCCGCGGTATCAATCGACGCGCGGCGCGGCCTCAGCTGACGGGGCCGAACCGGTTCGCTGCGAGAACGAGGAGAATATCAAATAGATCTGTTCCCTTCCGACAATTCCCGTGTCCCTCGCGCTGCCGTCCAAGTGAACGTGACGTGGTGTCGCCGTCCAGCGGAAGATTCGAGACAGATCGGATGGCGAAGGTGTCCCTTCGTTTTACTCGACACAAGCGAGGAAGACGGATAAAATGAGGAGAGAGAGATAGAGAGAGAGAGAGAGAGAGAGAGAGAGAGAGAGAGAGAGAGAGAGAGAGAGAGAGAGAGAGAGAGAGAGACAGATAGATAGGTGATGGAAGACGGAAAGAAAAAGAAAGAGGAGGCGGGGGGAGGGGGGGGGGAGCTGTCGTTTCGCCGCAAAACCGAAAATACTCGTGTCGGCCGGTATGTTGAAACCTGGCATAAGTTTTGGCGGGTTGCCAGCGGAGCGCTACTCGCTTGGAGGCCACGCCAGGCCACGAGCGATCGGCCTCGACAGCCCAAATCTCGAGCTAAAGGTAAAGGAGAGAGAACCGTCTCTCTCCCCTCTCCCCCGCCCTCTCTCGCGGCGGGAGTCGGCCGACGGAATCTCCGACGCATCGCGACGCGTTACGATACGCGGCGTTATTTGCTCAGCTCGCGTGCGTGTGCGCGAACGCCTATTCGACGCGGCTAATGTCCGTTCCCAGCGACGTCGATGAAACCTTAACCTGCCTGTAAACCCAATCCCCGGACAAAGACCTGGACTCGGGTTAAGGTTCAATCGACGTCGCTGGAGACGCGCGCGCGACCAACGCGCTCATCCGTCGTCGACGGCGGAGGCGTGCTTTCGAATTTACGCGCGCTTTTATTTATTACCCGCTTGCGTGCGCACGCGCGCGTATATTTAAATCGACAATCGTTAAAAGGCCGGCGGCTCGGTTTATTGTTCCTCGTGGGATTCTCGGGCCGCGAGCATCGCGCCCCGACTTTCCGGCGCGCTGAATCTCGCGCTGGTTCGTAAAGTCGCGGAAGAATCACGGCTGTCAGGATGAGCGCTGGTTTTATCGCTTCCTGCTCTTCGCGGGGATCCGGATCCGGCCGCTTCTTATTCTCCTCTATTCTTGTTCCTATTCCGCCGCTTCGCGCGAGCGTTCGTAAAAGGTGGCGGCCGAGCGCGCCTCGTGGCGAGAATCGAGCGGCGTGTGCTAACGAGCGAAATCGCGCGGCGCTAAATGTCCCTCGAGACTCGCGGATATCGTGGCCTTGGAATAGTTAGAGGTACGCGAGCGAACGTAGCCTCGGCGATTGGTTCACGTCTGAGTGCGCTGACAGGCGCGGGGCACGAGAAATTTCGGCGTCGTAATTATCCGATCGGCGTCGGCGAAAAAGTGCGCGGATTTAAAACGGGGCTAATAGGCGAATTTGAGGTGGGATCGCTGCTTCCCCCCGCCCTCCTCGAAATTGCGCGCCACCGGTCGTGGTGGAGGCCGAGGGATTTATTCGCGTGGCACGAAGGGATGGAAAGGAGCGCCAGGGCCAGGACGAGATCCGTCGCGATGTGCGCGGTGGAAAATATCCTTCTTCGTCTCTCGAGTATGGGTCATCTTCGACGAAGAATATGTTTTTGACAATAGTCCCGCAATGCACTCGCTGCAACATTGGGGAAAAGAGGATTTATCCTCGGTACGAGAATGTCCTGATTTTCTAGGAAGCAGACCGAATTTCGCTTTTAATCTACCGCTCTTGCTTCGATTTCATATTGATTCTTCTCGTTTTTATTTCGATTTCATTTCCTCTTGTCTTGAAATTTGATAATTTTGATTCTTTTGAGATGGACCTGCGACAGATTTACGAAACGACTGAGACATTGTGACGTTTTCCAGGATGATTGATACCTCGATCAATCACAGGAGGCCCGAATTCGATTCGGGCGACGCAGAGGCGGAGGCCGAGTTATTCTCGCGGCGACTCTTAAGCGTCGTCTACAATGGCAGTAAGCAGTAAGAAGTAAGCGTGAGCGGTAAGAACTAAAGTGCAATCACAGTCGATTATGACAAGAATAATCAACTGTGGTTGTTGGTCCATTTCTTACTGCTTCACGCTTACTTCTTATTGCTTACCGCCATTATAGACGACACTTTAGTTCCGAGGGTCGACAGGTAAACACGATCGATTCCTAGGCGCCGCGCCGCGGCGATTTCTCCCGTCGAGTGGAATCGAAGACTTCGCGCGAAGTAATTAACCTTTACCTTGATCTCCCCGCGCGAGCGTCCGAGCGGTTTAGACGGCATTAAAAAGCGCCGGCGGTCGGCAAATAGGCGCAGGTCGGAGCCAAGTTGGAACGATCGCGAGGCATCCGCGCCGCACCGTGACGCCTGGCACCGTCGTGACTATTATGAGTCGTCCGAGGAAAGAGACGCGGAGATGTAGAAACGCGTCCGCGAGAGAACGGAGCCAATTGTTTCTCGTTCCTTTCGTCATATTAATAAAGCGAGGGAAGGCACGGCGACGTCACGTTACTTTCCGTTCTCGACCCTC